AACGTCTCGAGAAAAGCGAAAATTAAAAATGTATAACCTTTTTCTACGTTAATTTCCTCCATCAAAGAAGCGGGGACTTCCCGAATATCTCTACTTTCCTTAAGCTGCTTTTCATCCCCTAATCCGCTTGTTTTAGAAGCAAGCTGTCTTCCTTCAAGTTCCTTGATGTTCTTTTTCCCAGGGATTCGTCCCCTTCGTTTTTTCTCTTTAGTTTCAACAGCAGCAGAAATTGGTCTATCTTCCTTCCGTTCAGTAGAACCTTCCCTTTCTAAACTGCTTGAATTTGGAGAAAGGTTACTGTCATTCTCAAAAGTACTCCTCACATCCTTCGTCTCTACGTTTTTTTCAATGTTTTTGTCAGAGCTCTCCATCATGTCACGAAGACGACCTTGACTAGGACCGAAATCCATTTGTAAAAGTCTATCAACCTAAAACATATCTTAAGTTGAAAAAGAAAAGTTCAGCAAGTCCAATTCACTAAAAAATATATAAAACTTTCAAATGTAAAAAGCTGAAGGCAGAAGTGCATAGAGTGAGTTTAATGTTATGAGCATACTTCATTAGTTTTTCGCTTTCTCTTCTTTTTTGACTCTGAACTTCTGTCAAGGCAGTCTGATGAAGGAGACCTGCAGCAAAGGGTTGCTTTAAAATTTTGGTTATACCAAACAATGTGAAAAAAAATAAAAAATGCGAAGTTACAAATACTCTACTCATTTTTTCGGTTTGAGAAATAAATACTGAAAAGTAATAGAAATATAGGATTTGTATAACTTGTTTCTGCATTTATTAATAAATGCCACATAAACACCGACTTAGAACGAATACGGGAAATGGCAGCTTCATCGGTGTACCGCGCGTCACTACTCACCCGGAAATTATCTACATCACCAAAACCATCCTCTTCCGCAAACTTACTTTCACGCGCTACTTAAAAAAACCAGTTCAACAAGAAAAACAGTACTTCACATAGTTCTCAGCAAACTGAAGACCATAAGAAAAGTTAAACCTCCTACCAGCTCTAATGACCTCACGCGGCCCACGTGGCATCCATTCCTCTAAAGGCACAGGTGGCATAGGAGAAAACGGAGTATCTGACTCCTAAGCAATAAATCTCCATAAAAAAATGTAAAAAAAAATTGAGGGATAAACTTACAAGAAAAGAAATAAAATAAGCAAAAAATTGTGTTGAATACTCCATACAGTAAATAAAAAAAGTACCAGGATTTCTAAACCATCCACTGAATGAACTATTTCGCGCTGAGGGCCAAGTTTCTCACGAAATGCTTGTGCTTCTCGAAGAAATAAAAGTCGTACTTTATGTGCCTCCTTAGATTCTCCTAAAATGAATAACTGAGGATAAACCACATTTCCAGCGAGGATGAAAAAACAGGGATTAAAATTTAAGTCAATTGCAACAACATGGATGAAATGTATCCTAACTTTCCAGAATATAAGAAACTTCGTAAATTAAAACAGTGTTTTCATACCATGACATTCTATAGAAGGCGGTTCGTTTTCAACCCCCAACTCGAGGTCTCCGTCAGCTCGCCTACGAAAAGGCGTCACACCTGAACCAAAACTATTTTACCGAGAATGAAAGTGCAGCAGACTAGCTAGCTAGTCTATCTATTCATAAAAAAAAGGATACGAGAGCTCACCTTTTTAAAAAATGTTCTTACAGCTTCGAAAAAAATTCTAATATTTTACTCGTTAAAACTGTTACTACCAAGTTTAACAATTTTTTTAAAAACTGTCTGCGGTCCTCGCCCTAAAGTTCTCTTTAAAAAAAGCAAAATGTGACTTCTTAGCAACTGCTACTGAGTCCTTTCTATTTGGTCGTCTACAAATTTCTTCTATCTAATTCTTAATCTTCATTTGTTAATTTAGTTAGTAAGTTTTCTTTCGCTGATGTCGTAGATGTTACACATATTTCACTAAATTTTCAAACAAGTATGTCATTAAGAAATGAAAGTTTCAGAGTAATTGGGAAGCCGAAAAAGACTCTTATTAACGAACCAGGTTCAAAAACAATGGCTACTTTATTTCACTGAAAAGAAAATTATGTATAATGATTACCACCAACCTGAGTTATGGGGTTGAGGACCGAAACGAGGTAGATTCTGTTGCTGCTGAAAGACAGGAAGTAACTGACCAGGCATCCCCGAAGTTGATGGTACTGCCTGACGAACACCCTGGCTGCCTGAACAACCAACCGACACTGTCGACAAACTCGAGTTACTCACTGTTCCTGACTGTGACGCTGAACCATTCGGCATCAACTTTGCTTGTGCTGCGCCCGGTACAATGGCAGGCCCTGTAAAAAGAACAGCTTAAATTTGAACTTAGGAATACAGTATTACAATAGGAACAGAATCGTGATTGACAGCAAAAAAATTCAAATGAGAACGAGTAATACGCCTCATATTAACTTTTATAATATTTTTTTATAATCAGAAGATTTGAAATCATAGCAGATAAGTCATACTATTGACAGCTGAAAGCGAATGCTGTTGCAAAAAAAGGAAATAGACTAGAAATTCAAAGACTAAGCAAAAGAATCTCAGCGATGAAAACTAAGCAACAACCTCTCGGAGAATCCTTATCATTTGCTTTCGACTTCACACACAAAGAGGTTTTGGTGCTGTTAACACCGACGTTAATGGTTGGTGACCCAGAAGAGTTAGAAGAATGGACGTTTTGTGCACTCCCATTGAGAGGAACAGCAGATTGTGGTGATGGCGTCTCATTGCCTTAAGCAAACGGCTACTTAGGAAAACTAAAACTACTGGTAAAGGTATAAAATCAAAGTTCTGCTAATCAAATTTCAGGCCCTGAAACTTTTTGACGGTGGTGTAGTAAGAAATGAACGCATATGGTACTGACAAAATTTATACCTCTAAATACTTCTCAAACAAACAACAAAAATATCACTAATTAACCAATTACTTTCAGTGTTTTTGCCACAATTCCAGTTTTCTGAAGAATGAGGTGGCATAGCCTGCAAGTGAGGTTGCTTAACAGCAGAAGTAACTGAAGCAACAGGGTGAAACCGCAGTTTTTGCTGCGCTCCAACTGTTTGGTTAGAAACACTAGAAGACGACACTATCGGAAGCGGAAGTTTTGTCTGGCCAACAAAGGCTGGAGGTGGTAAAGATGGCGTAGATGACGAATTTGGATGAACCTCTTTAAAAATAATGTTTTTGCAGAATTTAAAAAGATCAAAAAAGCCAAATTACTGTTTGAGAAGAGCTACTTACGTTGAACGTAGTAACCGTTGATCATAGTTAGCAGCTGAGGATTAGTATTTGCCGCAGGCCGAAGAGCTGAAATTTCAGTAATCCTGGCATATAACATTAAAAAGTATTTGAAAAACAACAGGATTCTGAAACGGGATGTAATAGAGTAGTGATTAGTTGCAAAAACTGTTCCATTAAAACTGATAAGCTTTACTCTGATAATGGTTGGCCACTGCCGGCTGCGTCTGCGACGATGCAACAGATGTTGTAATTGGCTGTGTACCTAACCGTGAAGGAGCAGTGGGGGTGACACCACTCCCGGACGCATTCGACATTAACGATGACGTCGTAGTTGGAATAGCTGCAATTAATCTAAATCAAAAACTCGACTCCAATTTGATAAAAAAGGATAAATTCAAAAATTCACACTTTTTCCAGCCGCATTAGCAATAATTATAGATGTCCTCCTTCAAAACTCTCTTCTAAAAACCAAAATCAAACAGTAGTTTGAACTGAGGAGTCACTAATAACAAAATATAAAATAAAAGAAGGTTTTTAAGTTGCTTAAAGATATACATATCTTAATTATAAATAACCTAACTGAAAAAGTTCATACATTCTCTAAAGCTTCAACCTTCGTCTCAAAGCTAGACTAATTTCCATTCTACAGCCAGAAAAAATTAGGGATGTAGAAATAAGCTGTGCGATAGAAATTTTGTTAAAAACACCTTTTGCGTAGACAATGTTCACAAACAGAAAATTTTGTCTGCTATCTAAAAGATGTCACAAGGAAAGGTAGCTTGAAAACCACGAACTTCACACGCCTCAACAATCATATAATATAAGTGGAAATGACCTTAACTAGCGATTTAAAACAGCTTAAGTTACAAAAACTATCTTTTGTTCACTGGTTCATTCACGAACATCATAACTCAGTCACTTTTTAAACAAGAAGCAATTCCCGACTGATTATTTCTTTAAATAAAAAAGTGAAAAAGAACTTGACCGCAAAGCGATCTACTGATAGACGGCAGTTATCCCAGTTGATCATACTATGACCAAGTGTAGCGACCTCAAGGAAAACTCAAAAAGCGGATAACCAAGGGTTTTAAACAAATAAAGTGACCTACTAACATAACCAAAAACAATCAATCGCATTTTGCGAAAATTGCACAAAGTTGGTTGTAATCTCATGTCTCCCTCAATTCATCAGCCCATCAAATGGTGTTCTAACATTTCTAGACTCAAACTTAAACATTATTTTGTGTAATATATTTCAAGGCGCGGTTCCGCTTTGATTACCAGAAAAAAATCTATTTTTCATAACAGAATGCCTCAGAATAGGTGATGGAAATCAGCATTCGGCACAATGAGGACGATTTCCTACTTATTTTACAGTTTACTTTATAGGCTCCATGCTATTTCATCCGGTTCCGCTTCTACCACACGTGACTAATAATTTTTTTTGTCGTTAACAACTCTTGAACTGCTTCTTGCAACACCAGCCTCCAAATGAAGATATACAAAATGTTATGAAAGCCATATGTCAAAAGTTCTAGTGACTCAAATCCCTAGCCTTGCTCCTCGACAAAAGGTAGACTTCACCATAATCAACTGTTCAGCTCATATCATTGAGGACGACTAATCAGATGACTTCTTTTCGTACACCCTAATAATCCACGTCTGCTACAAATATAAGAAGCAATTTGTGTAGTAAATAAGTATGTGAATGAGAAAAAATCCCTTTCCTAACCTTTGTAGAAAGAAATTTCAACTTAGTTTTCATTTAGTACAACGTATTACAAAATCTAGGAAAAGTGAATATTGAAACAATGAGAATCGACAAATCGAAATCAAAAGTTCCAAGCTCTAAAAAATATAATTACAGGCATAAATGAGAAATCGAAATTACTAACAAGCAGTTGAGGGCTTCGGTGCAAGGCTCCTAGCTAACTGCCCAAGTGTGGTGGCATTTCCGTTCAGAAAATTAGATTTAATCAACTGCGGTGGCAACTGTTGCAGAGGATGATGCTGGAATTGTTGCTGCAAATTTGATTGATTTCCTTCTTCAGAAATATAAGAATACAACAGAAAAAAATTCACGGGTAACTAATAAAACTTCTTCCTTTTCGTCACATTTAAATTTTTTTATCTCTTCTTTAATATCTAAGGTACAATTGCACAACAAATTTAATACTTGTTTCTTGTAAAAATTATAACATATCAAGCATTAAGCTCTGAAAACTGCTTCCTTAAAGACTGTTACAGTGGAAAAAAAAAAAGCAAGGTAACAACTACCGGATGGACTGCAGCACCAGGCGCAGCATTTGTCTGCAGCAAGAACCAACGACCCTCGTTGTCTCGTATAACGTATGTGTTATTGCTCTGAAACTTCACATTACTAACCTTCGGAAATTTTTATCAAGAACAGGGCATAAGCTTACGGCGAAACAGTGCTTGCATCTAAGACAACGCTATTCATCAAATCTAAGCTTCATATAAATGATTTTTAAAATAAACCATTGCCTGACAAGTAAATTTAGATCAAAAGCAGAAAAAGAAAAGACAAAACAACTCCAAACTCAGAATAAAAAAGAGACAGTACAAAGTGTTAAGAAGCTAAAAATACGGTCTACAGCACTCTAAGGGTCGCTGTGCTAAAAAGTTCTTCCCTAAAAGCTGATAAGCTTAAAAGTCCAATATCAGTAAAGTAGCTACAACAAACTTTTAATTACTCCTCTAAAATCTTCTGATAAAAAGAGAAAATTTCCTCACCGGAGATGAATTTGTAGTGAGAACCTGGCTTTGCTGCATTCCATTTGGAGCGCAAGGTCTGAAAAGTCGAACTACTGATTTGATATAAACAGTGATTTGCGATGCAGTTTGAGTTCAAAAATAGCAGCCCAAAAAGACTATAGCAAAGCTTCAATAAGAAAAGAAAAAAATGATAAAGAATCGGAAATAATTAAAATGAGATTGAAAATAAGATTCTTATGAAAAGACGATAATAATGAGTAGTGTATGAACATTATACGTAAAAAATTAAAAATTACTTGTTCTGACGATCTTCATTTTCGCCACGAGTTCTGGGAACTAATTTCCTGTTTTTTTGAGAGGTATAGGGCGTTGTAGAGGTATTTGGCGCATTTGCTCGTTGTGAAGTACTTACTTCATTACCTGCGTTTGTACCACTTGAATTAGATGAGGATGATGATGCATGGGCTTCCTTAACTGAAATATTTAGTTTACAACTCCAATTAAAACTGGTATTAGGCTTTTCAGTAAATACTACTAATTGTGAAAAAAAAAAAATTTAAAATAAAAAATTGTTTTCTTCGGTTATCTGCGTAAATACATGAATATTTTAATATAAGACAAAAACTTTCTGAAATATTCATTGATTAAGAATATATGAAACTTAAATGTTTCTTTAAACTTTTGCAGCCATAAAAAATAATAAATTCCCTAGTTTTAGAAAGACAAGGTAGCTCAAACGTCTAAAAAGAAAAACTTTTCTCAGTTATTTATAAAACCATGAAGTATTCTGGTACATTGCAAAACGGAAAAGAAAAGAATATTGTAAACTACAGGAAAATCAAGCAATACCATAATGTCAGTTACTACCGGCATAGGTTCAGGCAAAATTCCTGGAAAGCCACGATGGCTAATTGTACTTCCAGACCAGCAAGCAATTAGATAAAAAAAATCTATTTCCACTCATTCTTTAACACCCCCTAAGGAGTCCCTGTGATAGACGGATATTGATGAAAAATGGGAGAAAAAAATGGAAGCACAGTGGCACATGGTATTTTCAAAAAAGTAATATGTACTTTTTTAAGAGGCCTCAAAAGCTGAAAACAGTAAAGGAATTTGATTCAAAGAGTCGTAGTTCACATATGGTGCCGTTAAAGTATAAATCGGCCTCAAAGCACTACCAAAGCTACCAGAACAGTATAAAAAAAAATTTAAAAAAAATGGAGTACAATAAAAAATAAATAAAATTTACCTCGCTTTTACTGAAAGAATCAAATAGGATATATTCAAACATTGTCTAAATCTAATCATAAATTTCGTACTAATCCACTGTTCCATACCTGTGTGAGAGACAGCTGAAGGCTGTCCAGTTCGAGCCGTAGTCGTAGAAGCAATGCTTGCCGAAACAGAACCCTGTATAGATGTTACAGGTGTCTCTGTTCCAGCACTGTTCGCTTTACTATCGGAGGTATTTGATGAATTGTTCGCTGACATTTACACAGTCAGGTTTAGACTCCAAAACTGGGACACTGGAAATATAAATATACCACATAAAAATGGTAAATTCAATCAAAATTCAACTGTAATTTATAGAAAAAAGACTGATAAAGTTGAAGAAAACGATAAAGTCACGAAAAGACTGACATCACGGACATTACAAGGACGAAAACATCAAAATTAATAACAGTTTTCACTTTGAAAAAAGACGCGAATATTAAGTATTGACAAAATACATTTTAAACAATTAATAGTTTTGTAATTGTAACAGGTAACACGAACCAAGAAAGAATAGAAGGCCCATACTATAAGAAAAACGCATATTTTTCAACACAGAATGAGGAAATTAATTGAACAGCAATGAGCAATGTCGCATTATACTGATCCGTCGGTTGATACTTGGCAACTGTTTGTTTTTATGTAAAGCAAAAAACGGCCAAAAAAGGTTGCCAGAATGTACAGAAGTATCACAATTCGTTTCAATTCTTCTGCTGTACTTCCAAACATAACAGCGCAAAATATAACTCGCGTAACTATACCGCCATAAATGACCGTCGTTCATTGTGTATATAGAAGAAAGCACACGAAGAGAGCAGAACGGTGGACGAAGCGTGGCGTCGTTCTGGCTTGAAAGTGACTGGAGATCTTTCTGGGTCAGTACGTGAATGGAGGATTTATGAGATGATTTAAAGAAGTGTCTTTGAACAAAAAGCAATGAAGGGTCAGAGTCTATTGGTTTGTTTCGGGGAAATTTAAGTTGGAATTTTTTTGAAGTTTCCGAAAGTCAGGAAAAAATTATTTCATAGGTGATCAGCTTAAAGACCTCTGTGTAGTGTTTGGTAGCAGTGTTTTTTAAAAGAAATCATATAAATTAAGTAGCTTAAATAATAATTTGAAGTAAAATAAATTAAGAAAAAAAAAAAGTCAAGCTTTCATCCCTGTTAAAGAACTTCCTTCACCGTACGCATTTCGGTGGCCATTGCAAACTTAGTCGAAAAGCAATTTTTGCCACAAAAGTTCAACTTTATCTGAAGGAACTCATCAAGGAAGTTCTATCCTAAACACTTTAACATGCCAAGACCTGCTGAATACGACGTACCTCATTTAGTCTCAAAGACCTATTTTTATTTTTTGGGTGCTCATCACTCCAGCAGCTCTCATTGGACCACACGCATTTAACTGCTAACTGTTTTGTTGTTACTGCTTTTATTACGATAGAATACATGAGGATTGAAGTAATAGCGAGATATCCCTAGTTGTTAATGATTCGAGAGATCTGAGAAAGAAACAATGTGCTGTTAAATTTTGCTTATTTGCCAGCAACGGACGAACCTTTGTACGAATCTTGCACTGCTCTGAACCTCCATGAGATCACGAATACATTGAGATAAAGGCAGCGAAGAGGAACAAAAGTGCATGGGGAACTGTTAACTGTAACTGCTGTAGCTGGGCAGTCCAGTTTGGTCTGTCCTTGAAGAGTCGCTGATGCAGGTCTATATTGCTGGCGCCTTAAATATGATTTTGCTCTACATACTTCGGCTTAAGTAACTGATGCAGTTACTGATGCTACAGTTTTTTTTCACTTAAACAAATAAAATATGGATGTTTTAAAGTAACTCATGTATTGTATCTTGTTAATCGCCGGTATACTTACGGCAGAAGCAATTGATGTGTTTTTTTCAAATTAAAGTTGCTAATTTATGTCATAAAAAATACTTTAAATTTTATTTCTTAATTTGTTTATGCGATTTTCTCCCTAGTAAATAAATTATATGAATATTTGTTTATTACAGAATTTTGAACAAATAATTCACGAGGAAGTCTGTTGTTTAGGATTGTCAATATGGCAGGAGGTGTTAGGGGTAAGTAATTTGTTGTATTCAACGAAGAGAAAGGTTAAAGAACTTCAGAAAATAGCTAACTGTATACGCCTTATTTTATGATATAAGTGGCGCTTTACTTCAGTCGTTAGTCATATGTAAAGTTGATAAAGTTGCTTTTTCAGCCGTAGTTCTATTAGCACTTTTTGGCGTTGTGGGTTTGACTTTGCTTGTTCTTGGATGTGCGCTTCCTATGTTTGGGTAAATGGTTTTTCTTTCGCTTTAGCTTTAAACACGCATCTTTTTGAGAAGACATTACGAAACTTCTTTGATCAGGACTATTTTGGTACTTTACGAGACTTCCCTTTATGGCACTGCTACACAGAATATTTTTTATAAAGTCATTTGAAGACACCATCAAGAAAATTCTAAATTCCCAATTTTGTAGGAAGTGGTGGCCACTTTTCGCGATAGTTTTTTATATTCTTTCGCCTTTGCCGTTATCAATTGCACGACATTATCAAGACGACTTGACTGGAACTTCTGCTTGTTATGAGTTCGCGCTTTTCGCAACTACTGGTATTGTTGTATCTGCGTTTGCATTACCGATGGTTCTTGCACACGCTGGAGTTGTAAGTTTTTCTATTAGAACTCTCCAGTACTTTTAAAACGTTAAGCCTAGCGACCATCGGAAGTATTCAGATCGCGAGCAGATATTTTATTAGTTTATAATTTGTAAACACTTTTTTATTTCACCTATTAAAAATTGGAATTTGGAACTTAGCATTAATTAGGCATTGCAATAAAGAAGACGTGTTGGATTATAAGAATCGTATTTTATGTTTATATTTTACTGACCTTATTTGTCGCAAATTAGACAATATTAACCCGTATAAGTACGTTTTTAAAAAATTGGCGTTAGGGAACTGCATTGAAAGAGATAATTATTTGTTCTCTCACGAAGCTGTAAATTTCTTAATGAGTATATGAAAATTTTGAATTATCCGACTTTCCCAGTTTTTTTTTCCTTGAAATTGTTATTTGCATTGGAAGTGATAGCTTGCGGTATATAATCAGGTATTTCACCACATATTTAGTGAGTTCTTTTGTAGGTTTCTGTCATTACAGATTTACCTTTCAGTTGTTAATTAGCTAAAAAATACATAATTTTCTCGAAATACTATTTTAAAAAAAGGGCGCTTGTTCAAAAAGTAGGTTGGTAAACAAAATGATGCAGGTATATTCCCGTATCATTTCTTTTTGTCTGATAGGTCTTGGAATTGGCTTGTAAGGGCATCGTTAGCTTGCATATCATACTGCCAGCTAGAAATTCCTTATTTTAGCTGGCTTAAACAGCTTTAACCCTGCTCTTGCCGCCAGTACTCGCGATTGGGAAGCATATCTCAAATAAAGGGTTTTAGAATACTTCTGATGGTAGGAATGCTGCAATTTTTTTGGATTGCATTTTATCCTGCATGAGAAAAACTGTTTTCCTCATTCACATTGCAAGTCCCTGGTTTGCTGTGCTTCTATGGAGTTTCTAGTAGTTGGCATTGTATGTGAATGATCTTGTGTTTGTTTGTGTACACAGTAAAAGGACTTCGGCTTATTTTTCATTTTTTACTTATTTTTATTTTTTTTTTTCACTTAGCTTTGTCACCGACTTAGCTAGCTTTTTGCGAATTTCACATCAGCAATAGGTTATAAAGTTGTTAAGTCCTAGTTATGGGAAATTCTTTTGCAGCAGGTAAATGAATCTAAGCAAATAAAAGTTTATGTCATTCTTATATTCGGGCATGTTTTGGTAGATATTGAATTTTTTTTTAAAAGTTGTATTCACAATTCTATTTCAAATTGGCATTAGAATAGTGGAATACACATTATTTTGCGAATATGAGGTTCAGAGTACTGCAAGAAACAACCAATTCTTAGAATGCTGTGCAAAAATAATTTTACATTTAGTGGACTTTTAACGTGGACTAGGCTAATTTTTTCTTGTTTGAATGCCATGATAAGTTTCTCTTTGAATTTAATATTACACCGTTGAGTTAAGAAGTAATTTTTTGAATCTACTACTCAGTACCGGTTAATTTTCTCAGCATGTAATGACGTATGCGATATCTTTGTGTTTACACAGGAATTAAGCTATTTTTCTGCTGGGGTGTTTCGATGTTGTAGCCTCTGTTGCAGATCAAATGGATGGCCTGTTTTTGTGCAGATCTTGGCTCCGCTGTTATGTTTTTAACCATATTAAGTTATTTCTTCATTCATAGAGATGACAACGGTTCTGGTTGGGATCAATCAATTTTCGGATAGATGCAAGTGTGTTTATTTTTTATTCTTATCTTTTTTAATTTAAACCAAAAAGGAAGAAATACAAACGCTTTAGCAGTGATTTCTCCCCGGCGTTTCGACTAATTTGCTTGAACTTTTTGATTGTAAACCACTGTGTCGTGTTGTTGGTGTTCACCTACAACTGCATTGATGGCTTTTATTTTAAGAAGAACTAAAAGTGTTTAGCATTGTGAGCAGCTTGCTTTTGTTAGTAAAACGCATGCTTCTTTGTCTTTCTTTTTTTTGGTAGATTTTCCGAAAGAAGACGTTACACACATTTTGATGGTAATATTAATGATTTTTGTTATTTGTTGGCTTTATCCGTCTTTTTTTTTCTTTTCAGATAAATGTTGTGGCTTGTTTGATCATCTTTCTTGCAAATGTCTTCTGCTTTGGAACCGTCCTGACTTACTTCAAAGTATTTGGTAGTGAAGACTCTGACCGTTTAATATTTTGAGCTGTTTGATTGCTTGTTGTAAAAAGCGGCAGGACTCCTAAACTGCTCGCAGTTTGGCAATTTTGTAAAATATGTTTATAATTTGTTTATGTTCTACTATTCTGTCGTCATAGCAAATCTGATGACAAAAGTTGCGTTACCGAGGTGCTAAGAAACTTGTTCTGTTTTATTTTTTCTTTGAGGCGTTAAGAGCAGCAAACTGTTTTGTGCAGTGATAACTTTAATAGTTTTTTCTTCTAATACTCTGCCTAGTAACTTATCTTCTATCATATATTCACTATGTGTTTATGTGATCTGATTGTCTCTTGTTGGTAGTGAGCATGTGGTAGTTCTTACTGTATGAATGTACAATAAGCTGTTTATTGTTGGTTATCGGTTTTGTTAAGAGAATTTTTTGTTGACTTCTTTTTATCAGATTTGGCAAATGCATGAAAGTTAATGCTTGTGCATCTTTGACCCATATATGTATCATTTGAAATGCTAGTTTTCTTTTGATGGATTTATCTGAAAAAAAGGATTACGGAAGGTAAAAGTTTTTTTGCTTTAATTTTTGGAGTGCATTATTCAGTATTTTCTTTGTGCTGTCTTCTGTTTTAGAATGGAGTTTGATAAGACAGTGGTAAAAATATTTTATGGTATTTGCTTGATAATTCTGCATTCAGAATCCTCATTTATTTGTGGCACTGAAGCAAGACTTTTCAGGAGCAATTTTAGAAACATGAGTGAACGGATTTGTAACTTGCGCAGTCGTATTTAGTAACTGTTGTAAAAAGTTTGTTCACAGACAGGTGGCTGGTATAAGTTCTCATTTGTAAATTATCAGAGTCCTGAAGTTTTTATTGGAGGAAGCTGGTTGGAAGGGATTGGCAGTTGTGCTTATCTGTAATGATGTTGGTACTTCTTGGGTTGTGGTTTTTAGGAGTGTTTGTAGATCGTTTGGTTCAAATAAAGCTTTTGATCTGTGAATTTGTTACAGCTTAATGGGACTGATCTAAGGTTTTTACTCGACACATCGTGGATAGTAGTTTTTGCGATTCTAAATGAGTTATTTCATACTTTTCCACAAAAAGAAAAAAAAAAAGAACGGGACATTGGTGTCTTGTGCTTATCAAGTTTAGCTGTCTTAAGCACTCATGTTGTTTTAGTCTTCTGCATGGATCGTGCTCGACTGTAGAAACAATTAAAGGTATTTGATTGACGCGTGGTGTGGAAATTTTTTAGTGTTCAAGCTGAGAAGGAGCTTCTGCAGTTGCGATGAAGCGAATGCTGTAAGTTCGTGGCTGTAAGTTTTATGCGGTGATGGATGTTAGAGCAGAGCTAGTTATTTTCAGCTGTTTTTTTTGCCAAAAGGCTAGATACGTATAGTTTTGTCTATGCCATTCATTGTATGTTTCAGAAGTGTCGATGGTAATTTGATATCCTCAGCACGCCTCTTTCCTCTTTTTACTCCGCATTTTTTGCTTTCCGATCTGGTTGACTTTTGATCGCCAAATAACTGTCAATGACAAAGATATCGTCTGCAATACACCAATGAATGCTTATCTGTTCGGTTAAAAAAATCTGGTCTTTCTGGTACGTATCCGAAGTCACAGCTCTGTTTAGGGAAGGTTATCTCCAACTATTTTTTGTGTCAGAAGAAATTTTCAATTTTGGCTGGGCATTTGAATACATTTGAACCATTTCAGCATTCGGATACTATATGAGGAAGTTGAAAGATTGAATAAACAGCTAGAAATAGAAATTTGTACGTGAAAGTTTACAATGATAAAGAAGTTTGTAGTGGTATACTGGTTTGTCCCGATCTTTTCCGGTAATTGCTTCAGCTCTGGGCTCTAAACACAACATCTATAGAAACATATCAATTGATAAAAAATAGTTTGGAAAATGATTTTGAGTTTACTAAGTTGAGGTCTTCGTTGCAGTCGGACGGGGTTGCGTATATTGGCAACTTTATAGTAGTCCGTCAGCCTTCTATACGGATGTGTAGAAAATTTTTTTTCCTTTTCATTTCAACGAGAATTACGGGTCCATTGAATTTACAAGTATTAATTAACGCTTTTTGGGTTTCTGTAATGATGTTCAAAAACCCTTGTTCCACTCAGTTGTTCTAAAAAAAAAAACGCATTATTTGAAAAAACAAACCTTTCTAACTGGCAAAAAAAGTCGTTTAAACAATGTATTCCTCTCTCTCGGTATTACTCTCAGTTGCTCCTAACTTCTGCAGTCAAAATGCCGTCTAACCTCTTCGCTTAAAATAGGTGATTTGTTTTTTGACTTGAAACTGTTCTTCTTCAATTGGAGGACAGCAGTTGTTTGCCTAAAATGCCATTAGGCGGTAAAAAGCCGGAAGCATCTCTTAGTTGACAAAGGTAGTCAAAAGCGGGTTGATTACAACATTTTTGCCGTCGATACACTACTCCAGTTTTTTGTGATATGAATTCTATCAATATTTTTATATTTCATATTATATATTATCCGCTTTTTTAAAAGTTTTTTGACTTCGTTCATCCGGATCAGTTGGCTGAAAATTTAGTTAAGATAGCTTGAAATACACCGCTATTTCGATATGATACTGATGTTGAGGGACCGCTTTTCTGTTCGATATGCTGGTTCTAACTTTTGATGATGAGCTATCTGCCTAAAAATCCTTGTACTTAGTGCCTCAGTGGTTATGAGAAATTTTTTTCACTTCCGTTTACAACGTCATACACTGCACAGAATGAAATACTTATATCCTTCGCACTTTTTTCAGAGTCTACTTCAGCAAGATTCGTCGCATAGTATTCTTGTTAGTACATGTTAAGTTTTTTGGCATTTCTTGTTTGAATATTTTCTATTATTGCTAAGACTGCTACAGCAAAACGTGGGAAAACCAGGAAATCTGATAAAACAATTTTCAGTTGAGGCTAGTCAGAGTATCTCAACAATTTAGATGGCAGGGCAGTATGCTGATATCAAATTCCATTTGAGGCTTAAGGTTTGTTCAGCACTACCAAAAGAAAAAATGAAATGCGGCTCTTCAACGAAGAATAATTCCGTTTTCCTAAACATGACAGAAGTTCTAGGCATTGGAATAATTCAGAAATTGTTTTGCTGTTGAATATGCCCGGTCATATCTCAAAAGATATGCTCTTTCTGCAATGGAGGAATATATTATGATTGTGATACTTGAGAAGTGGAGGCTGGTAACTATACGCTTGACTTCTAGGAAAAAACCTTCAAATAAGTTGGTCTAAAATTAGCGACTTTTGTGGCAATATTAAAATTTTAGAAGAGAATCTTTCTGTATTTATGTGCGAATATATTGATTATTATCAATCTACAAGGCAGTATCTTTAACAGCCGTTTGTCGGTGGCTCTGGAATGTGAACTGGGTAAAAAGTTTGCTTTTGCTTTTTCAAAAAGATCCGGAAGTAGTAAAGGAACTTTCAGCTAAATACTTTTTAATATCGGTACTCTAAAGGTAAGCTTAATGGAAACAGTTGTGGTCACTATTAAATGAACAATGAGAGTAGGAGGAGCTATAAATTGTGGTCCTGTAATCTGCTACACCAATCGCAATAAGTGATCCGAACTGATCAGATCGGTTCATTATTAGTTCTTTTTTATCTCGGATTGCGACTAACTAGAATGTGGGTTTTTAGATGAGTGCCAGAATCGTCAATTTGCTGAGTGTCAGTTCGTACTGTTTTTATCACATTTGCATCTTGCTCAAAACCACTTAGCTTTTTGATTATTTTTGATTTTATCACATTTTTTTTTCTTGGTACCTTTTTGTATTATTTACATTGCTGCAAAAGATTTCGATTTTTTTCTACGGCGATTATTGCAAGAAAGAAGTGAAAGGAAAAATATAAAAAAAATAATAATGAACTTTAAATGACTACGTGATGCAAAAAGTTTTCTTCGTTTTCTTTTGGAGATATCTCAGCAGCGCACCAGTTGGAGATCTGTTGTTACATGTGTCACCGATATGACTGGAAAAGACACAGGCAAATAAACACGTAAGTATATCCATTATAGCCAAATACAGAAAAAGAGAAATGTACCACAGAAAATTCTTTTAATAGTTTACAACTTCTGTTCCTAATTCAGGTGAAGACCTATGAAGGAAAGAAGAAAAACAGTGAGCAACATGATATTGTGGAAAAGGCGATTGTAAATTGATGTTAAGCCAAGAAAACTTGTAAACCACGACGTCACATAAGTCCAGAAGTTGCAACAAATTTTATACCTTGAAAACTATTTGCAGACCAAAAAGGAGAAATATTAGTAGCAAAAAAAAAGCAGAACACCTACTAGATATTGTGAACTATATTTTTGTTTAGTTTTTCTTTTAGGACACATGTACAACCTTTGACGTCAATATTTCAACGACAAGGCATCAAAATTTGACCCTATGTAAGACCAAAGTTCTTCTCGGTAAAGTAACTTTCAGGAAAAATGAATATGTAATATGAACAGCCAGTAATATCAGGTATTAAAAACAAATTGTAAATTTGTTTTTTATTACCTCGTATTCAATATCACTTGAAAGGAGATACAGTAATAGAAAGAAAAAAAAATTCTATAATAACAGTTGATTGTCTTAGACGACCAGCAGCTATTTTTGGTAAACTTGTTGAACTATCGAACCACTAAACCGTCCGAATACAATCACTTAGAAAATCCAGTTTTTTTCTTACTCGCTTTTTCAGGTATTTAAATGGCTGGTATCCTTGGTTAGGGTATCACAGCTAGAACAGCCATCTAATCATGACTGCTCTGCATAAGCAGTTTCTTCTGATAATTGTTGTAGCTTCTATTGGCCTTCTAATGGTTTGTTTCCCTGTCATTTTCAACAACAATGTACTTTTTAAACTTTTAATCACTTTGTTCACTGTCTGTTACAAATGCTGTCTTATATTTTCAAATATTAAATTTTGTTTTTGTGGTTTCTGGTTTTTTTTTTGAATTTCTTTTAAACAAAGATAAAAATGGTTCTGAGTTTTCGACCAATAATCAGCATCACTTAAAATCTACTGTGTTTTACTAAGTTACGGTAAGATTCATTGTGAAAATTAAAATTGTAGTAAGATGAAAAAAATACTAAGATTTCACACTTTAGGCTACACCGGTACACGATAATATGGCGCTGGCAATGAAAACAGATTTTAACTTGGCGCTTCCAATACGCGATGATTTGGAGACAACAACAATGTCAACTAATGTCACTGAGACCACTGAAGTTTCAGGGAGATCAAAGCGAAGTTGTGGCTGTTGTAACTGTTGTAACTGTTGTAACTGCTGTTGCTGTTGTCCGTAAGAATTCAAGATTTCTACAGTGAACATTTTGGGAAAATTATTTACAATAAGTGCTTCTGAAAACTTACGAAAAAAAAATTTATTTTTATGATTTAATTTCCAGGTGCTACCACTGCTGTCCGTAAAAATTTAGTCTATCTTTCTGCTAGGTTCTATTTACCAACGAGATATTGATATTATACTTTTAGTAAGCGCTTGAAAAGATCACGTGTCGTGAAATTAGTATAATTAATTAAATAATTAATCAGCTTTGTGAAATCATTTTAGGTGCTGCTGTTGCTGTTGTCCGTGCTGTTGCTGCTGCTGTCCATGCTGCTGTTGTCAGAAATGCTGTTGCTGCTGTCCATGCTGCTGTTGTCAGAAGTGCTGTTGCTGCTGCTGTCCATGCTGTTGCTGCTGTTGCCCGTGCTGCTGTTGCTGCGGGTGTGGTTGTGGTGGAGGTGGTCGCAAGAAGAGATCCATTGCTCAACTGTTCACTAATGACACTGTTACCGGAACCGTTAAACGCAATGCTTTCCCACTTTCCATGTACAGATTCAGTTTTAAATTGAAAAAGAAAATTGAAAAATGTGGCTGTATCTATTCGGTTAACCCTATAAAAAATTTCAAACAGGCTTAACTAGAGACGGATTTCAGGGGTCCAAACGGCAGATGTGACTGTTCAGCTTGCAAAAACATTGAAGGTCACCCAGGTAGCCTTGGATGTCCAATGGGTCCAATAGGAGCTGGCCCACGAATGGGACCGATGGGACCATGCCCAAGAGGACACGCAGCTTGCCCTATAATGCCACAAAACTGCCCTAAAGGTCCGATGAATTGTCCTAAAGGCCCACAGAACTGCCCGAAAATGCCACAATCATGTCCAAAAGGAGCAAAAGCTTGTCCACCAGGCAGCTGCCCACCTATGAGAAACTGTCCTAAAGGTCCAGGAATGAGTGGTAACTGCGCAAAGCAGTGCACTCCAGCTCAGATGAAAGCTTGTCGCATGAACTGTGAAAAGTGTCTTCCTAACCACCACTGAATTGAAAAGAACTTTTTGCCTGTCTATACATTGTTTTTTCGGAGACTGATGTAGTTTTTGTCGCAACTGAAATGCCGAATTAGAATTGTGGAAAAAACTTAATTTCCAAAATCAAATTACGTTTTGCTTGTAACTGAAGTTACTGAGGATTTTTTGTGTAACTAAAATGTCCTTACGTAAAAATTTTTCTAATTTTTTAATGTTTATGTTCAGTTTTATTAACAGTCTGCCTAATAATAATTTATTAATTTATCTAATTGTTTAATTTATTAATTTACCTGATTAACTTGCTCAATGTATTAACTTATCAATTCGCTTAATATATTGTTATTTATTCATTTTTTTTTATACTTTGGCTAAAATAAATTTCTTGCAAAAAAGTTCTTTTTCCGTTCTTCATCAATCCGCTTTTACATTCACGTTAATTATCGTTGAAAAATGCTTATCGTAACGCTACACCTTTTGTTGTTAGGCTTACCGTTCTAGCTTATGCTTATCCAATGCGTTCTTAGAGTGCAGACACTAAATTCGAGAGCTTTTAAAGTAATAAAAATATCCCAAGGTTATTCATGAAAATAATCGTTCATGTGATTAAACGATCTACTTTCAAGAGGCAATGGTCTAATTTTTGACACTTTTTTTGTTAACTATAAAGATTAGTCTAAAAAAAAACACCTATCAGTTTTTTGTACCTGTCATTTATTTCTAGGCAGCAACGTGTATAGATTCTTCGTTTCTAATGGACAAACTTCATTTAGCCGATCAAAGATATATCGTTTGTTGATTTTCCATTAGTTTTTTAGTTTTTTTAATTGGATTTATTGCTATACTGATTCGAAATTGCCGTTTAGGCAGCAGTATTTCAGCAGTATTTCAAATTCACCTTCATGAGCAAACTGGACATGAAGGCTTAAAAAAGGACGAAAAAAGTAACGGAAGCTTTTGTTGTAATTTTGATTATTTTTTGCAAAAGGCATGCAGATATAAGGAGGAAACCTGTTGTTAGTAGTGGCACTTCATCCTCTGTTTTTGCAGTTGCCGTAACTACTCAAAAGACGCATTTTACAAACTTTTAGTTAGCTGACTTGGTCATTTCTGATTAAAAAAGTGAGTCAAACCAATGATAATTTTGATGAGAATCAGAATAATTTTTTGTTCATTTGTATTTCTATTCTTAACAGATAAATTACTTGATTTTTTTTTTTGCTACATGTAAGTAAATTTTGAACCGGACGGAAACAATGTCACCAATAGTTTTTTAGTGGAGAAAACGTCAGATAACGTCAGATATTCTTTTTCTTTCTACACCGCAGCTTAACCATGATCTTTAGCTATTACAGTCAAAGAAAACATCACAGAAAAAAATTCTACTGAAGTCTGATCAAATACGTATTGTATGTTGTAAACAGCTCCGCATGAGTTTTCATCAGGTGGGGTTCAATTCAGTAATCGTAAATTTGTTGTTGCTTCCGTAACTGACGGTAATGTAAATTGTTTTTTGTTACGGCAGAGGATTTTAAGGCGAAAAATTTAGCCTCTCATATTATGCCTTCACAGAATGAACTGCTATCTCCGTTTGAATGTAATACTTTTTTACCACTTTCGTTCTGTAATACACTTCACGATTGCTTCACATTTCATATCTTCGTCTTCGTATCGTTTGAATTTGTTTGAATTTGCTTCATATATAAAAATACTATAGGGAATTTACAGGCGATTAACAATTGTTCACAAGGTAACAGATGTTTAGAGCACAATTTTGTAAGCTTTCAAAAAAACTGATGAGAGTCACAGAAGATTAACCTCATTTTTGCATTTTCAGCTACCTGACGTTTTAACAGGTTTTCAATACGGCCAAATGTTTCATAATCAATGAAACAAAGATAGTTTATATTGAAAAAATCATTGTTGCTGTCTGAAACGGATAAATAACAATGTTGTCTTAAGATTTTTTTGTTTGACGGATTTTTTTTCCTTATTTGCTCTGAAAGGGTTTCTCAGAAGTCTCAGTTTATTTTTTTTTGGAATTCTATTTCTTTATGAAAGCTGCGTGAGAGTATAATGTGGATTGTTTACCTAATTGAATTTTTTCAAGAAGAATTTTTTTGAGATGACTGCTCCTAATATAGAGTACTTTAAACACTTTCAATCATTCTTTTGTGAAGATAGTAAAAAATGTATATTGGTATGTATATACATTGGTAAATTGTATAAAAATGTATATACATTGGTAAATTTCTATGTTTTACGTGTGCAACCTTTCTGGAATAAGCTTGTCAGACCGAATGAATGGATAGCATGAAACTGTTATCAATTTTTATTCAGTTTACGTTTGCGCATCTTTTTTTAGCTGTGTATAGGTAAAAACAGTGACCAGTAGTTACTCAACTTTAATTTGACTCAATAAACACTTTGAGAAAATTAGGAAGGAAGCGTTAGATAATAGTTTATTTTCATTATCGCCAGCTTACTAGACAAGAGTGATTTTTTTAATTCGTGCACATTCAAACCCAAATCGGCTAATATAGTTAAGGATATGTAGACGATATGTAGACTCTGCAGACCGTCGTTTAACTACAGTTGTCTAGCGTTATCGGTGGCACATGTAACCGGTTTGTTTATAAAAGCAATGATCTCTGAGCAATAACTGCAAATTCTCATAATTCTTTATCTTTTTGGTAATAAATGACCAATTTCATGCAAATCTGCAGCTTCATAAACATTTGGGAGTAATTAATGAAAATGCAAAAGGAGAGGCAAGGAAATACTGCGTGGTAGAAAAAAGCTTTTTATCCATTACTGCGTACGATAGTCATTATTAAAAGTAATTAAAATCTTAGAAGAGCGATTTTTTGGAAAGGACATAAGTATTTCTTATAGCTACAAAAAAACCTTCCGAAACATGACAACTTTGAAACAAGCACAAGGTCCGCAGGAGTAGTCTTGACTATTTTAGCATTGAAGTGTTACTAAGTCATCTCTGCGTAACTAACCTCACCATTTCAAATTTTTACCTCTCAGGAATTTTTTTATTTTTTCTGTTATTTGTAATTATTATTATTTTTCAGTCATATTTTACTGTTAACCTAAAAACTAAATTCAAATAGAGGCTTTTTGCACCTGGTTAAATTTCTTTGATATACTTTTTCTTTGTGCTAAAAAAAAATTGGGAATTCCTTTAACTGTCATAATTTTACTAAGTTGCAAACTGGAATCTGCACGTAAATACTTGATAGCCTAACCTGTAGTAACAAAATAACTGTATTCTTGCTCTACATAAGAAAGAATATGCTCGTTAATCGAACAGCGGTTTTAGGTGTAGCATCTACGGCTAGCACTTTTACAGGCGGTTACACTGCAGTATTACGCTTCGTTTGTTTACCAGCTCCTCGGTCTCCGTGTCCGCCCGTTATTTTTATCGCTGTTTCATGGAATTTGTTGTAACTGTTTTCAGCTTTTGGCGCATATTTGAAGTAAATAACATAACATACCCATGATGTCCATATACTAGCTTGAAGTTCAAAAGGACTTTGTTGAAGATGCATTGCTAACTTATTCTTTGTTGGCACCTAAAAGTTAAATATTGACCAAAATCTTAAGCTGCAAAGACTATTCTAACGTGTTGCAGGCATTCATAAATTATGCGTAGGTCAGACAGGCGATGAACTGTACAAGATGGAGAGTTATTCTAAGAAATCTCACAGGAGCAAAAAAAAAAGAGATTTCATGAGGGACAGAAGCAGTTTGGGAGCCAGAGCAATACTCTATAAAGATCGCTGGCCGGTAAAAAGCGTCCCTCGCCGTGCGGCGGCACACGGTAAGTTAGAGCCTGCTTTGATCATGTAACCAACGAGAGGAAATTTAGTATAAAAACTAGGCAAAAAAACCAATTTTTTCGCCAGCTTCATTTCAGCCTGATTTTTACCGTCTACAATGAACTTTGATGCTGGTTTTGAAACATTAAGCAGACAGAAGTGTTTCAAAATTCTGGTGAAATGTCTCGTTGCATATAGCTAAATAGTGTGGTTGTTTTTGGTTATTGAGGAGTACAACCACTGTTTGAAAATTTTTTCGTTTTATGGGTGAGACTCACGGACGTTTTAAGTCCTCAACCTGCATCACCTCAAAGATTGAGTTGACGACTGCTAGTAAGTTCGTGCACCTTGTGTTTACAACTTAACATCTTCAATACCACCAGACAGCCGCGAGCTGCAGTCCTGGATTTTTCATCATTACTTTGGTCGTTATTCGTTTCAAATCTCGAAAATACTTCTCTTAAAACTAGGCAACAGATACTTCCACCTTCTTGTTTAATTTTACCTCTCTCAGTAAAACCCTATGACATTCTCCAGATTTTCGAAACGCTTTTCTCTTATCTGCAGCTATTCGAAGAAATGTTTCTCTTCACCATCATTCATCTTCTCCACGTCTTCTGGAGGCAGAGCAGTAGTGTACTCTTATTTGAATCGGTTTTTCACTTGCTTAGGAAGCGAAGAGGAAGGTTTGAAATGGTAAAAAGGTGCACCGCTGATTAGGGCTGACCAGTCACCAGTTTTAAACAGTACCCATTACGCTTAATGGCCAAGTGCGACAAGAATAAGCAGCTTGCTCGCTCACTAAAACAACCCGAAAAGAATTCTTGAGAGAAAATATTTTCTAGTTTAATCAAAACCAATCAGCTCTATTTGAAATTGTTGAAGATCGTGAAGGCATTCACATAAAGAATTTAGTAGATTCTTGGCAATCGTTACGATTGTATTTATAAGGTTGCGCAGAACCACTTTACAGTGAGAAACGCAACCAGTGCTATGTCAAGAAGCTCTGGTAATTATTTACGCTGGCACTTCAAAATTTCTTCTGCTTCATATTCGACGTTGGTCAGTCACAATTGTAAGATTCATTATTTTTCCATAAGACGGTCATAAAATTTTCACTTTGGAGTTTCTTTAGAAGATCACTGCAGTCAGAAGGACCTTCTTCAGATGAAAGGATGGGTTTTC